CCCCGCCGGCAGAAATTGGTTCACGCGCCGCCACAGTCAGAGCGCGTGAAGCCCACGCGCAGTCCAACTCCGAGCGCGTGAAGGCCACGCGCCGCCTTCCACTGCTCATCTCCGGTCACCGTCAAACTCGCCGTGCTCGCCTCAGTCTCCTCTTTCTGTTCCAGTACTGTTTTCTTTCTGGGTTCCTTTTTACTAAACATTTCTAATTGTTTCTTCATTATCTTCAGAAGCCTCACTGTGCAGGCTGCTTCTTCATCTCTGTCTTCTTCATGTTTACTGTTGCAGGCCAATAAACATGACAAATTCCTTCATCTGACTCCATATACCTGCAGTGTTGCTCTTTGTGTTAATAGTGGATCATCCAAATCTACTTATTGTTTATTTTTCAATCATTTCTGCATTGTGCGCTTTGGTTCTGTTTTTACCTATATTGAAGTAAATATGACTTCAAAAATGATGAAGAGTCTTCTGGTCCCAAAGATCCTGTTTTATCTGAAGTTACCAATCCGGTACGTCATGCTCCAGTTTCTTATGCTTTTTCAGGTTCACCAACAATTACATCTGAAAAGTTAAATAGTAAGAACTATTTAGCTTGGTCCTCTTCTGTTGAGTTGTGGTTTCTTGGTCAAGGTCTTTCAGACCATCTTGAAAAGTCAATTTCTGATATTCCTCAAATAGAACAAAGTCAATGGAAAAGGTTTGACTATCAGTTATGTGCCTTGCTATGGCAATCTGTGGAACCCACAATTTTAATTAATTTTCGCACTTTTAAAACATGTGCCACTTTTTGGAATAAAGCTCGCAGCTTATTTGCTAATGATGTTCAAAGACTCTATGATGCAGCCCAAAAATTGGTTTCTCTTCACCAAAATAGTCATGATATGACAAGTTTTGTTGCTCAGGCACAGGCAGCAGTGGAGGAACTAAAAATGTTTTTACAGGCTGACAACCATCAAGGCTTGTTGGGAAAGTTGGAAAATCTATACGTAGTACTGGTATTGCGTGCTATGCATCCCGATTTCAACCACATTCGAGATCAACTTTTGACTAGTCACGAAGTACCCACCATGGACTATCTTACCACTCGCCTCTTGAGGGTTCCCAATTCCACTACTTCAGACCAGCGTCCCAACATAATTGACACTTCAGCTTCCGCTTTAGTCACTAACTTTGGCTTTCGTGGAGGACGTGGAGGTCGTGGTGGACGAGGAGTTCGAAGAGGTTGTGGTGGTCGTGGTAATCGCAACAACAATCTTCACTGCACATACTGTAAGCGATCAGGCCACACTCAGGAAACATGTTACTCTCTACATGGTTTCCCTGACAAATCTGTCAATCTCACTCAGTCTGAACCTGGTGTAGAAGAAGGGACGAGATTTAACAGATCTGGTGAACAGTCATTTTCTCTTACACAAAAGGAGTTTCAAGAATTTCTTCAGTTAAAAGCAGCAAAGCCAACCCAATCCTCTACTACAACTGTTGCTCATTCGGGTAATCCTACAGTTTGTATTTCTCATAGGGTAATAATTCCACACCCTGGATCCTTGATTCAGGTGCCTCTGACCATGTAGCTGGTAATCAGTCTCTCTTCTTTTCTCTTTCTTCACCAAGTTGTCCTCGTTTTGTAACTTTAGCTGATGGTTCCAAAGTATCTGTCCGAGGCATTGGTGTTGTCTCACCCAATGCATCTATGTCATTAAATTCTACTTTATTTATACCTGGTTGTCCATTTAATTTAATTTCCTCGAGTCAGCTTACAAGATCTCTAAAGTGTTCCGTAACTTTTTATTTTGATTCTTTGTCATCCAGGACCGTGGTACGGGAAAGACGATTGGCATAGGACATGAATCACAAGGACTTTATTACCTCCAATCAACCTCTCATATGGCATGTGCTACGGTGGAATCTCCTAGTCTTCTCCATCACCGTCTTGGTCATCCCAGTTTATTAAAACTTAAAAAAAATGGTCCCAGGTCTTGAAAATCTAAAGTCTTTCAGTTGTGAGTCATGTCAACTTGGCAAGCATGTTCGGGCTTCCTTTCCTAGTAAGGTCAATAGTCAAACATCATCTAGTTTTTCTATTATTCTTTCTGATGTTTGGGGTCCTAGTCGTGTTTCTACACCAACTGGATTTAAATATTTTGTGACTTTCATTGATGATTTTTCTCGATGTACTTGGTTATTTTTAATGAAGGAACGTTTAGAAGTCTTTCCCATATTTCAATCCTTCTGCAGTGAGATTCATAATCAATTTGGCAAAACAATCAAAGTTTTACGTAGTGATAATGCCAAAGATTATTTCTCTGCTGACTTCTCATTGTTTATGTCATCTCATGGGATTTTGCATCAATCATCATGTCCGCATACCCCCCAACAAAATGGAGTTGCCGAAAGAAAAAATCGTCGCCTTATTGAAACTACTCGTACATTGTTGTTGGATGCTCATATGCCACTGCAATTTTGGGGGGATGTTGTCCTAACCGCTTGCTATTTGATTAATCGTATGTCTTCCTCTACTATCAATCATCAAGTCCCTATTCAGGTATTAGACCCCCAAATTCCTTTGTATACAGTTCCTCCTCGATTATTTGGTTGTACCTGTTTTGTCCATGAAGTATCTCCCGGGCGCGACAAGTTGTCCCCTCGTGCTATCAAATGTGTCTTTCTTGGTTATTCTCGATTGCAAAAAGGGTACCGGTGTTATTCTCCTATCACCCATCGTCAGTATATCTCTGCCAGTGTCACCTTTTTTGAAGACACACCTTATTTCACTTCAACCACTAATCCTATAGTAATCTCTGAGGCTTTACCAGTACCATACTTTGGTGGTCTCCCTTTGTCTTCTTTACAGGAACCTGCAAATACTTAGCCTGATCATGAGGAACCCATCGTTTCTCTGCCAGAACATGACCAGCTTGATCCTCCCCAACAACCAATCATCACTTACCAGCGACATTCCAAGGCAGTCATTCCTACAACCGAGGTAGTCACTGAGGATCCTTATACATCATGTCCTATCCCAACGGCTTTTCCTACTACGGACCTACCTTCCTCTACTGCACCTGCATCAACTCCCGGTAAGTCTGTCAGTGATTCTCCTAGTTCTATTCGTAGAAGTAGTCGTACCACTCGTAATCCTCATCCTATTTATAACTTCTTAAGTTTTCACAGTTTGTCTCCGTCATATTATGCATTTGTATCTTCTGTGTCCTCTGTTCAGATTCGTAACACAGTTAATGAGGCTCTTTCCCACTCTGGTTGGAGGCAAGCTATGATTGATGAGACGACTGCCCTTGAGCACAGTGATACATGGGACTTAGTTCAACTTCCCCGAGACAAAAAGGTTGTTGGATGTCGTTGGGTGTATGCAGTTAAGGTAGGCTCTGATGGCAGTATTGATCGACTTAAAGCTTGTCTTGTTGCTAAAGGATACACTCAGACTTATGGTCTTGATTATAGTGAAACATTCTCTCCAGTGGCAAAAATGGCATCTGTTCGTCTATTTCTAGCCATCGCCGCTATTGGGCAATGGCCTTTATATTAGCTAGACATAAAGAATGCCTTCCTTCATGGTGATCTAGATGAGGAGATTTATATGGAGCAACCACCTGGTTCTGTTGCTCAGGGGGAGTCTGGACTAGTTTGTAAGTTAAAACGGTCTCTTTATGGGTTGAAACAATCCCCTCGAGCTTGGTTTGGCAAGTTCAGCATAGTTGTACAGAAATTTGGGTTATCTCGGAGTGAAGCTGATCATTCAGTGTTCTATCGTCACACTTCCTTTGGTCGATGTATTTATCTGGTGGTTTATGTTGATGATATAGTTATTACAGGTGATGATAATGAGGGTATTTTGCAGTTGAAGGAGCACTTGTTTCAACACTTTCAAACAAAAGATTTGGGACGACTCAAATACTTTCTCGGTCTTGAGGTAGCTCAATCACAGAGTGGCATTGTGCTTTCACAACGAAAATATGCTCTAGAAATTTTGGAAGAGACTGGTTTAACAGACTGCAAGCCTGTTGACACTCCAATGGATCCAAATCACAAGTTATTACCAAATCAAGGAGAACTATATTCAGATCCTGACAGATATAGAAGGTTAGTTGGTAAACTAAACTACCTTACCTTAACCAGACCTGACATCTCCTTCCCGGTAAGCGTAATAAGTCAATTTATGCAAGCTCCGTGTGTTGAGCATTGGAATGCTGTGGTTCGAATCTTACGGTATATTAAGAATGCCCCAGGAAAAGGATTGTTGTATGAAAATAAAGGTCATGCTCAAATTATGGGATACTCTGATGCTGATTGGGCTGGATCACCCAGTGACAGAAGATCAACTTCAGGATTTTGTGTATTTATTCGTGGTAATCTAGTATCTTGGAAAAGTAAGAAACAAAATGTGGTTGCAAGATCCAGTGCAGAAGCTGAATATCGTGCAATGGCAAATGTTACATGTGAACTCATATGGGTAAAACAATTACTTAAAGAGTTGAAGTTTGGAGATACTAATCAAATGAGACTCTACTGTGATAATCAAGCGGCATTGCATATTGCATCAAATCCCGTCTTCCATGAAAGGACCAAACATATTGAGATTGACTGCCATTTTATCCGAGAGAAAGTCCTGTCTAAAGAAATCCTCATTGAATTTGTTAACTCAAGCTATCAGCTTGCTGATATTCTTACTAAGTCACTGAGGGGACCTAGAATACAATTTATCTGTGACAAGCTTGGTACATATGATATATATGTTCCAGCTTGAGGAGGAGTGTCAGAATGTATGGTTGTCCATTATGCTTTCCATGCTGTCCATTATGCTTTCCATGTTGTCCATGGCTGTCCATTATGCTTTCCATGCTGTCTCCATTCTGATCTTAGCTAAAAGTGTTTGTATATTATTGATTGTATCCATTATAAATACCATACAGCTTCAGAGAATTCTCTAAGCTATTCCAATACTTCATTCTACATCAAGAAAACAAAATGTGGTAGCAACTTACCTGCCCAAGTTCTTCATTCAGATTTGAAGTTCTGGCCAATGCTGGGGTATTGGTTTCATGATGGTACATATGCAAATCCTTGTTGATAAATTGAGTGCACTGAATAAATTTGACCATCTGATACAGTAATCAAAAATAAGATTTCCCCTTCATCAAAGTAACAACATTTCTAGAACAGTTAATTGGCTGAGACACAAACCTCTATCGACACATAAAGTGAAATGGGGATGATTGTTGAGTACAAAGTGATGAGGGTAAACATAGTTAGAAGGAAAACCTGAAAACGTGGTAAGCAGACCAACAGAAAATGAGTGAAGAGGAAAAGAAAGAAACAAGATGGCTATTCATCTAAATGGAGAAATATATAGTACCAAAAATCTGTTTCTTGGGTCGAACTGTGCTGAGCCCTCCTCTGATGATTCAAGATGTAAATAGAAATACTTCTTGTTTACAAAAATAGCACTGAATTTACCCAAATCCAAGAACATTATTTACAAATAATAACAATAATAGTGGTAGTAATAATAACAACAATAAATCTAAAGCTAACCCCATCCCCCTCCCAGTAGTTTGCTAAGACAAGCAGTCATAAAGCCCACAAAATATTAGCAGCAATTAGAAGGGAACCAGGCCAGGCAAACTAATTGTTTTTACTCACAGACCTGCCTACAGCTCCAATAAAACACATCACAAATAGAGTCGCAAATAGAGTGAGTATAAGTTTGTCAAGCTTCCTCTCCAATGTACTTCTTTTGGAAGGAACGTTCATAGAATTCATCATCACCTGCAATGTATTCCAAATGTCCGTAAAACAGTGTCCATGAACAAAATCACAGAAGGAAAACACGCTGCAACAAGAGCGAAAAACAACCAAAAAAATATCCTGAGAAGCAAACATAGCCCAAGTAATTTCATGCAACTCAATCAAAGAGACTAAGGTAATCCACACTTCCAAAAGGAGAACTCAGACAAATTGGACAGCAATCAGTACCAACACATGATAAATTAAAAGTGAAATAAACCCAAAAGTGAACAATTTTTAAGGTGCCATTGCCATAAACAAGCAAATCAATTCACATACATCAAAACAACCATGAAGGAAGTGAATTTTAGGTTGCTTTCTTCTTTCTCCAAACCCCTTCCACCAGAAGGATATCCATAAACGTTGGTATCCAAAACAGAATTAAAAACACAGAAATGTTATGATAACAGCAACAAGTGAACAATGATAGCAATATGTTGCTGGTAGCACATTTCAGCCATCAATGCATTACTGCAATTACATGTATCTTTTGACCAAATGCTAGAGCAGACTCTAGAAAATTGAAGGACGTATCAATGTATCATCATTAGGTATCATTTCTTAGTAGAAACCTTTGTTTCATGTCCTGTAAAAATAACAACCCCAACAATATACTCTGTATTCCTGAGACTGCATCCCTGAAAAGGCAGGAAACTTCAATATGTCAATACCAGTTCGGTTTCATAAGAGGAGCAAACAAAACATAAATGTAAAAATTAGTATCTGTCAAAGCTAACGATCAATAAATAAAAAAATCACTCTCCATTAAATCCCGACTAGCAAGGGTAAGGGTGAGGGAAATGCTTGTACACAGCCTATTATTTGCATATTTACAAAGAGGCTGTTTCTCGGATTCGAACCCGTAGCTAACAAGCAATAAATGATATTTAAAAATTATAACAAATCCAATAAAGAAAAAGAATTTCATTAGCCCTATCAACTACAACATTATGAATAATTTCCGAATGATCATAGAGCTCATACAAATCAATGAAGTACAAAAAAAGGCAAAACATACTCTCAACAAAAGTTGATTTGGACTGAGAGGAAGTGTTTGGTTTTGAAATATAAGATTTCCAGTGAAGGTATACAATGAATTGTTCGGTTGTTCACACTGAATTTCACCTGCAAGTAGTTAAAAAACTACACGTCAGAACTTAGAAATAAATGAGCCATAAATCAAATTTTGCAAATATCATGAGAAATGACAGTCGTCAATCTGATAGTGATTGTGCCCTGCACAAACTCTAGAATAATCTCCCTAAAGAAATTAAAAGGATAGACAAAAAAATTTGAAAAGCCATATGAAGTTATATGTTCAATCATAATCAAGGAGTTTCTAAAAAAAGGGGAAAATTTAACCAGAAAAATAAACAAGTCAATATATAATGATAGGAAAAAAAAACTCAGGTTTAAGTAGTCAGAGTCAGTGCTCAGCCAATGGGAAGGAGAGAGACACCATGGGAGAAAAGTTCTAGATCTAAGGGAACCTAGCACTAGAAACCACAGTTAAAACATGGTTTCCGAAAAAAGTTATTCACTGATGAGCAGTGGGTCCTAGGTAGGCACCGACTAGGACTGTCTCTCATAATGCTCTAAATACCATGTCAAGAGAAGAAGAAATGGGAGTCTTTAAGTGAAACTCGTGTGTCTCAACTACAGAAAGGGGTTTGGATTAAATAGCCAAAAATAATACGTACAAAATAAATATAAATATCACTACAGTCCTAATTACGTGATTCTGACTACTGTATTACATAATTAGCGTCAAAACACTATTTAAATAGTTACCGACAATTACCAACAGAACCAAACATGATAATGCAAGAAAAATTGTATGTAAAACAAATTCTTCAAAGAAAAACAGATAAAAATTGGCTGATAGGTTGTCATTAAGCATACTAAAACTTGAATAACATATTAAATTTGCAACTTAGGACCCCCAGCAAATTTAAAGAAGGTTGATGGCACTCAAAATCAAAGGTCAATCAATAAAAAAACTAAACCTTTAAACTCAGATGCCTTCTCTGGAGTCAGGTAATCCCAAGTCTTTTCCAAAGCTTTCCTAATCTTCAAATTAGTTTCCCCGTCCAAATTAGCTGTCTATCACCCAAAATCCAGGATTAATAAATGGTTGCAAAAGAATGTTAACACCACTCATTTTAGATTGAAATAAATGTATAAACCTCAATGTAGCAGACACCATCTACATTTGTACTAGCCAGGAAAAGCAGATCTGCAGGAAAGAATCCATCCTGCCTAACCTGCAAAAAAAAAACAGAGTTGCACTTACAGCAAATATCTGCATTGTAAATAGAAACACCCACAAGGAAACCATCACAAGCAGCTCGAGAAAACAAATCCCAGTGATCCCTAGATTACAAGCATCTGCAAACCAAGCTAACAAATACAATTAAAAACTCAGATTGATAAAGGAAATTGGTAACTGTTAATTACCAAGAGACAAGAGGTATTCATTGTAATCCTTGTTATATTAAACTACATATATTAAACTACACAGCATTGGTGCTATTATATAGCAAACCAATTGAAGAATACAAAGAGACACACTCAATGTGGGACTTCTATACTATGTACAGCAACACTCCCCCTCAAGCTGGAGCATATAGATCGTATGCACCAAGCTTGTTACATATCTGGTCTATCCTAGGTCCTCTCAAAGACTTAGTAAATACATCAGCTAATTGATCATTTGAGTTGACAAAACGAGTGACTATATCTCCTGAGAGAACCTTTTCCCTAAGGAAATGACAATCTATCTAAATGTGCTTAGTCCTTTCATGAAACACTGGATTTGAAGCAATATGCAAAGCATCTTCATTATCACAAATGAGAGATGTTGGGCCAGTGTCTCCAAACTTGAGTTCCTTCAGTAGCTGTTTTAACCAGATGAGTTCACAGGTAGCTGTGGCCATGGAGCAATATTCTGCTTCAGCACTTGATCTAGCAACTACACTTTGCTTCTTACTTCTCCAGGAAATCAAGTTATCTCCAACGAATACACAATACCCAGAAGTGGATCTTCTATCAATAGGAGAACCTGCCCAATCAGCATCTGAGTATCCTACAACTCTGGTATGACCTTTGTTTTCATAGAGAAGACCTTTGCCAGGAGCAGTCTTGATGTACTTAAGGATACGGATTACTGCATTCCAGTGATCTTCACAGGGAGAATTCAAGAACTGACTTACTACACTGACTGCAAAGGAAATGTCTGGTCGAGTAACTGTGAGATAGTTCAGTTTCCCAACCAATCTTCTATACCTTTCTGGATCAGAAAATAGCTCCGCCTGATTTGGTAAAAGCTTGACATTTGGATCCATAGGAGTATCAACGGGCTTAGCATTTAACAATGTTGTTTCCTCAAGAATATCCATAGCATATTTTCTCTGTGATAGTACAATGCCATCTTTGGATTGGGCCACTTCTATCCCTAAGAAATATCGGAGTCTTCCAAGGTCCTTTGTTTGAAAATGATGGCACAAATGTTGTTTTATCTGAGTTATGCCATGAGTATCATTACCTGTAATGACGATATCATCAACATATACTACCAAATAAATAGAACCTGAATCAGAGTGTCTGTAAAAGACTGAGTGATCAGCCTCACTTCGAGTCATGCCAGACTGTTGTACAACAGTGCTAAACCTTCCAAACCAAGCCCGGGGAGACTGCTTTAGACCATACAAGGATCTTCGGAGACGACAAACTAGGTTAGACTCCCCCTGAGCAACAAACCCAGGAGGTTGCTCCATATAAACCTCTTCCCGCAGATCACCATGGAGGAAAGCATTCTTTATGTCCAGCTGATACATAGGCCAGTGATGAATGGCTGCCATAGTAATAAAGAGGCGAACAGAAGTCATTTTCGCCACGGGAGAAAATGTGTCACCATAGTCAAGGCCAAATATCTGAGTATAACCTTTAGCCACCAAGCGGGCCTTAAGACGGTCCACCTGACCATCCGGACCAACTTTAACCGTGTATATCCATCGACAGCCAACAACAGACTTCCCAGAGGGAAGGGGAACCAGATCCCAGGTACCACTACTCTGAAGTGCACTCATCTCATCAATCATGGCCTGTCGCCAACCAGAATGTGATAACGCCTCACCTGTAGTCTTAGGAACAGATACAGAAGAAAGAGAAGAGAGGCAAGCAAAATGGGATGGTGAAAAACGATGATAACTCAAATTTATTAAATACCTGGGAGGGGGACGAGAATCACGAGTACCTTTCCGGAGTGCAATGGGCACATCAATGTCAGACGGAAGGATCGGAGCTGCCGGAGGAGATGATGACGGAAGTGAGTCCACAGGAGCCTCAGTAACAATAGGGGCAGACTCGGGGGGGCAGGGTCCTGGGGAACAGGGGGACGTTGCCGACGATGATACCGACGATGATAGACCTGGAGGGGGGGAAAAGGGGCGGGAACAGGGACGGGGACATCTAAAAAAGGAGATGGTGAAGATATATAGTGAACTGAAACAGGTGGTAAAGGTAGCTGAGTAGCAACAGAATCACTGGGATGGGAGGAGGAGTCAAAGAATGGAATAGACTCAAAGAATGTAACATCCGCCGAGACAAAGTAACGACGAAGACTAGGAGAATAACAACGATAACCCTTTTGTGAGCGAGGGTAACCCAGGAAAATACATTTATGTGACTTAACAGATAACTTGTCAAGACCAGGACTGAGATTGTGGTCAAAACAAGTAGAACCAAAGATGTGAGGAGTGAGTGGGTACAAAGGTTGATGGGGAAACAACACAGAATGTGGTACCTGATTATGAAGTACGGAGGAAGGCATCCGATTAATGAGATAACAAGCTGTGAGGACAGCATCGCCCCAATACTGGAATGGGATATGACCATATAACAAAAGTGTCCGAGTAGTCTCAATTAAGTGACGGTTCTTGCGTTCAGCAACCCCATTCTGTTGAGGGGTCTGTGAACATGATGTCTGGTGAAGGATGCCGTGAGATGCAAAGAAGGTAAACTGATGAGACAAATATTTACGTGCATTATCACTTCGAAAAATGGGAATCGAAACACCAAATTGAGTAAGGATTTCATTAAAGAACTTGTTAAAAATAGAAAACAATTCAGACCGATTTTTCATTAAAAATAACCAAGTACATCGAGAATAATCATCAATGACAGTAACAAAATATTTGTACCCCATAGTGGAAACGGTACGAGTAGGACCCCAAATATCTGAATGAACTAAAGCAAAAGGAGACGAAGACCGACGACTGACACGATCGGGAAACGAACTACGAGTGTGCTTCCCTAACTGACACGACTCACAAGACAAACTAGATAAATTTGAGAAACGTGGGACCATCTTCTGGAGCTTAGCAAGATTTGGATGACCCAACTGAGCGTGGATAGTAAGCGGAGAATCCACAACAGAGCACACTGGAACAGAAGTTGAAAGCTGATAAAGGCCATTGGACTCAGATCCGACGCCAAGTGTCCTCCTCGAGCTCCGATCCTGCAAAATGACAGACTCTTTAGTGAAAGAAATAATACAGTCAAGGGATTGAGTCAAGCGACTAATGGAAATAAGGTTGAAAGGAGAATGAGGAACATAAAGCACATTCTCAATGGGAATAGAAGGAAAAAGGAGAACAGTGTCAATCCCTTGGGACTGAACCAGTGACCCATTAGCCATAGTAATATTGGGCAGGGGACCAGGACGTACAGAGAGAGGTAAATAAAGACTTATTACCAGAAATATGGTCAGATGCACCAGAATCGAGAATCCATGGACCAAGAGAAGGCGAGTGAGAAACACCAGCAAAGGAATTACCCGTGTGTGCACTAGAGGCAGTGGTACCAGGAGGTGGCTGTGATCCAGCAATCAAGGCAGAGTCCGAGGCAGGAACAGTAGTCTGAGCAAAATGAGCGGAGCGAGGAGGGCGACCGTGAAGATCCCAGCAATGATCAATAGTATGGCCCGGCTTTTTGCAATGAGTGCAGAGAAAGCGTCTCGTAGAGGGTTTACGTCCACGTGCAAAACCCTTGGAGACAAGGGCAGATGGGTCAATTGAAGAGGGAGCAGATACTGCAGGCTCCATAGAAGTCTTAGGTGGAATGCGAAGCAACGTAGACCAAAAAGAGTCCAGCGATGGAAGAGTAGTAGAGCCCAAGATCTGATCCCGATTGACAGAATATGCCAGGGGCAAACCATAAAGAGCCATGAGCATGAAGAACATGCTGCGTTGCTCAAGTTCTTTAGCAGGATCTGCAGCAGGCGGCAACAGTTCATTGAAATCATGAAGGAGGCCCTGAACTTTTCCCAAGTAAGCAGACATAGAGACATCAAGTTGTTGAGTAGCAATAGTAGTGATCAAATTTTGACAAACCCCATAGAGTCGCTGAGTGTCATTGGTATAAAGTGACTTGGCCTGACGCCAAACAGACTCACAAGTGACGTGAGCACGAAAAATCTGCTTCAAGGACGAGTGGATGGTAGACTTGATGATGCTACATAACTGAGCATCAACCTTTTTCCAATGAGGGCGGACATCTACCGAGATGGACTCAGCCTTAGTAATGAGATGGTCAGTGTAGTCCTGTCCATCAAGCCAAAGTCGGAGATCAGAAGCCCAAGAATCATAATTGGAGCCATCCAACTTGTCGACGTGCAGCGGAACATTAATATAATTAGAAAAAAACAGGCGGGTCAGCCTTTTGAGAACCCTTGGATGCATCGTGGGGTGACAAATCAGCCATAGATCACCTGAAACAAAAGCGAACAGCAACCAAAAGCAAAGAAACACGCGTGAATAGGGACCAGCAAGAGAAAGAGACACTGTCGGAAGCCGAAACGAAGTCAGAACAACAAAGTGAGGACAGATCCAGGTGCGCAAGGAGAAGACGAGTTGAACCGTGGTGGTCGGAGGTCCAGCCGGAGCTGCACGCGCCGCTGCAATGAAGCGGACGGCAGAAGCTTCCTCCCGCACGTGTGGGCGCGTGGCTGAGGTGTTGGAGATGGGTGTTGGACAGACAGGACCGCCTTGTTGTGGCGGTCAGATCGATGGGAGTTTCGCCGGAAAAGTCGCCGGAGACGGTGGTCAACGGCGGTCAATGGTGGTCAATGGCGGTCAACGGTGGTTCTGGACAGCGGCAGTACTCAGACAAGGTCGGAAACAAAATAGGGAAGCCGGAAACTAACAGATGTGACGGTTTCTAGAAAAAAAAAAAATATATATATTACTCAGCGGACAGTGGTCCACCGAAAAACCGCGGATTGGGCCTACCAGTGCTAAGAAACTCCACAAGAGAAAGTGGGGGACGGCGAGGCTCTGATACCATATTAATTACCAAGAGACAAGAGGTATTCATTGTAATCCTTGTTATATTAAACTACACAACATTGGTGCTATTATATAGCAAACCAATTGAAGAATACAAAGAGACACACTCAATGTGGGACTTCTATACTATGTACAGCAACAGTAACAAAATGAATTAGTTGATTTCCCCAGTTACTTTTTTTAAGACCAATAAAAAGGAAAAATTCAAAAAAAAAAAAAAATCATCGCAGAAGGGAAAATGTTTCATATGAAGAAAGAATACTCATTCAGAAATGAGTCACTTCAATATACAAATAAAATACTGCATACGTGCATATTAACAAGACTTACAACCACATTGCCCTATGAACTTTGTCTATACTTCTGCAACCACACCAAGGAAGAATAGAAAGGAGGGATGAAGAGAGAGAGATCATTCTTAATAATATTGAATCACACAAAGCTGGAACAACCATTGTTATCTAGAAATGGATCAGTGAGGATAAAATGGCTTTCTCCTAAAAGGTAATGAGAACTTTATCAAATGTAGTAGGACAATGGCATCATTTTGAATGTGTGAAAGGAAGATTGCAGCCCAAAAACATGATAACCGACATAGGATTTCACAGCATACAATCCATTGCCATTATAGATACCCTTGTAAGCACCAGTTCAAAACAGAGATGTGTCAAAACTAAATCTAGACATATATCGCACTCACCTTGACAATGTCACCAACTTGCAACTTTTTCCAGGGTATAGACACCCACTTTTGATCTTGCAAAATATCTATCATATTATTGTTTATGGCCATGTCATTTTGAAAACGCTTCTGTTGTGCACAATTTAAGAAAAGTAAATAGATCAATAAGAGGAATAGACACACAATAATACTGCCATAATCAAATTATAAAAAAAAAAAAAAAAAAAGGTAGACAATATCCAATTAAGGATGGCATCAGAAAAAATTAGAGAAATGAGGTCATTACCACATTTCTTTTCCTTATAAAATAAATTCATTACAATGAAGAGAATAAATTACAGGGAAGTTCGAGGATAAGGGAAAGTAAAACAACAAAGGAAAAAAGAAAACATGAGCATAGCTGCCTAACCCCTCTGCATATCCGTTAAGGAAAATAAAACCCTTAATCTTTTACAAACTTACAAGTAAACTGCATAATAAAATGCTTATTTCCAGATAAATATCTACAAACATTCTCCTATAGGATCCTTATTTGGAATCCACAGCAAAAAACCTATTGGAAAGAAGAAACCTGAATCCCCTTAGCCCCCAAAGGCTACTGAAAAACATATATAAAATAGAAAGCAATGTGCAAGGAGAGTAAATAGCATTCTCACCCAGTCCTCAAAAGCTTCCTTAATTAGAGAGAGGAGAAGCACCAGAGATAGAGGAATAACATTAGTTATTGGAGACACGGGGCTACATCATCAGAAATACGTAATTACTAATTAGACTAATCCATTTTTCTGAAACAAAAATTAGACTTATAAACTTGTATAAAATCACAAATTTGCTGAAAAAATATATATGAACAGCAAGCATAGATCAAGTATATATTACTGATAATCACTATCACAATAATTAAAGCAAGACAGAATAGCATAATGCAAAGTCCAAGAAAAACAGGACAACGTAACAAATCATATAAGAGATAGAGAACTATATATTCAATGTGCTAAGTACAATCAAAATAAATAAATTCTAAAAAATTGTTAGAACTTCAACAAGACATCAAACATATAGATCATTTCGGTGAGTACAACTTAAGCTTAATTAATAATTTGTCAACAAGAATACTCAAGTAGACATGCAGTAATAAAATCTGAAAAATCAAAAACAGTGAAAAGAAAGACCAAATTAAATATGAAGTGCATAAATGATAAAACCATTGATCCAGGTGGCACTAGCACTGGATAGCCTAAGTTTAAAGATAAAATGTCTTAATATACTGGTTTTTCTGATAAAAACTACCTAACCGGAAAAGCTACTACCAACTATATCTGGCAGATAATAGATCAACTGGATGAAATGAAATGTTCCTGTTCCCCTCCATTCAGCATTCTATTTTTTCATAACTAAGCTTGCTAGTAGCAAAACAATCTTCTAACTTTGAGCTTAACTGACATTTACATACCTGATTGGTGTGGTAGACAAAATTGAGATTGTAAGAAAGTAGAGATTAGCAACCCGCCTGAACTGTAGCACAAACAGGAATTATTATCTACAGTTAAATAAAAGTATTCTGATAAGAACTGGATCAGTAGCTACTTATGAAAAGACACCCAAGAGGAATTGGCCCAGAAAACTTCTGGATTTTCTGTAATTTATATGAAAAAGAAAGACAAGTACACTGTTGGATTTTCTGGATTTTCTGTACTTATGAAAATATGTTGAAGAATATGAACAAGAAAAGCTCTAGTACAGAAAATGGAATCAACTTTAAAGAAGAAACTAATATCAGCACTTTCGAGAGGTGTCGTGCCCCTGTATTCATGCAACGTGCCCCTGTATTCATGCAAGTGCCCCTGTATTCGTGCCCTTAGTGACTCATTCCTAACAGAATTGTGCAGCATATTCCCCCCTAACGGTTTTTCTGCTGAGTCACCCTTTGTGAGTTTGTTGCTTATTTTATTATGAATGCTCACTTTGCCCTTCAACCTCCTTTTAGAATACACTTTAAGGGATAGGGATGTATCATATTCATAAGTTGGCAACAGATTGAACTCATCGTCTTATCATATACAAATATGATTTACCTTCAATCAGCAATAAATGAATTTTAAGACAAAAAGAAGTAATAAATTATTGAGTATATATTGCTTTAACTTCACATATTATAAAGCAAGAAAAAGAGCCTTTTTCTTTGTGTGCATATAAATGAAAAAGCCATTTGACTCCACCTCCATGATTTTGCATCACTACTGATGGAAAGAATGCTATTTTAAGAGAAGTGAATTATATAAGGCGATGGCAAAACTTATATGGTCAGCAATGTAAAGTGCCACAAACAATCTTGTAACGAGAAAAGGGGGGGGCGGGAAAACTCCTTGACTTGGGTGGTATCCTTATGTGCTCAATTATATGAAATCATAAAGACAAAAGGCATGCCATCTGCACGAGTCATCATTTGTACTTTGAAAATCTGATAAGGAAAATAGCTGCCAAACAGTGCAACAACTCATTTATAACAAGCTGATAGAGCCGCAGTTCCAAATACAGCTCAGAATGCTAAAACCGAGCCAAGGGTCCCGAAGTCCTAAACCCAAGGCCCATATGTAGTTAGGAGGGAAGGAGTTTGTTCAATGTGTGAGGGAAGGGAAAGTTAGTTGTGGTGAGAGAATGTAGAGAGAGTGGATCTGGTTTAAGGGGAACGTTCCCCTTAGGAGGTCATGTTAGTTATAGTTTTTCAGCTTATGGATTGGTGCCTAGAAAGTTATTCCCCGAATGGTAGCTTCTGCTCTTAAATTTTCTGTATTTCAATCCTCGATTTCCATTTATACATTCTATCAATAGTTTTGGTTTCATCACATGCAAAGCTTGTATTTTGTGAAAACTGAATATAGAGGGCATCTCACATGCTTTCAAGAATCAAAAAGCTTAAAAGTAACTTACCTGTTCAAACAATCCCTTTGGCAAAAAAGTGAAAAAGTTGAACTTCGTAGTCGATATTGAATTCCCCTAACACAAAGGATATTAATTAATCAAAAATCTTAAATCAAGGTATGTAGCAATGTACAATATAATATCACACATGAAGCAGAAATTGGGAGTTTGCAAAAAGATTATTAATGAACTTATTTCAAGGTGTATACATATCAGTAGCAAAACATAAAATAGAATAAATTTAATTTGATATCATTAACAATAAATAAAACTACATGATAACTCACTTGACTGCACTCAACTAACACCCATGGTTAAAGTTATGGTAGTATAAAATGGGAGAGACATTTATCGCTAAACTTTATTATTTTACAAATGTCTGGCCCATTAGAAAAATGGCATTGTCAGACATCATAATCTTTTTATAATGTTCTATCATCAAGATCATATGAAAGGTTCAAATAGGTAGAAACCTTATTACATTCTCTCAGAAAATGAGGATTCAGTAAGCATTAAGCAATGCATTTTATGCTTCACAAGATTTCAACATCTCTCATTCCAATTTGCCACTTTATTAATCTGAGTTTGAAATTCCAAATAAAACCTATGAAAGCGCAATCCGCAATATAAGTCTTGTTTCTTATACAGTGTCATATTTGTATGTGCTAGTTCTACCACCTTTTAAATAAATTTCACACATTTTATTTTTACTTTTATTTTTATTTCATCTTGAATTAGAAAAGAAAAGGTGGCTCCAATCCAACCTTATAGAGAAGTAAAAGAAATTCAAAATCAAGCAATCCCTATTTCTGTATTTCTTTTCTTTTTCTTTTTTGTCTTATTTTATTTTTCTGCATCTTGCGACACTACAAGAAAATTGAATCCATCTGTATGCATGAATATTTCTATCTCTTTTTATTTAACTGAAATGGCATTCCTCATTCAGTTCCGATGCACTGTGTCAAACTAGTTTCTTCCAATGGATAATTTCAGCTAAACAAAGGAAAAAAATACATAAAGTTGATTCAGCAGTGCGAAATATTTCACATAGAAGGCCTTTATTCTTTAACCATGTAGGAGATCATATGTACTTGTTTGGTTCATAAACATCAACTCATCCAATGCAAATGGCCTTTCATTCTCCAATATAATTATAAATTACTTAGCATCAACAGCACAGGTCGACTATTAAAATCTTCAACTCAAGTAGCATCGCTTTCCACACTCAACAAGATTGTTCAATTTCAAACAAACAGTAAATTCATCCTCTAGACCTGGACTTCCATCAAGAAGTGACAAATTTCTAGTCAAACGAAAAGAAGAAGAAAAATAGTGACAAATTTCAAATAAACAGTTCTCGTGTTGCTTGATGATTCGCACCGAAAGGCAAAATGCAAAATGCAAAAAAAAAAAAAATGAACAAAACACAAGCGCGAACTGCTGAAAACGAATTCAATCAAGTTCCTGAACTAAAATCCGAACAAAGAAAAAATCGGAGTTGAGACAGCATCTAGAGTTGCAAAGCTTTTGTTCGAGCAACGAAAAACAGAAAAGATAAACAGAAACCGAGAATCGAAAAATGGAAGAGCAAAATGCAAGATGAAGAAAGCAAACCTTGAATCGGACGGGAAGATTAGCGAGGCGATCGTTGCCGAAGATAGTGCGGTAACCAGGGGCCTGGGGCTGGACATGGCCGAGCCGAACCGTTCGAGACGAAGGGACGCGTTGGCTCATTCTGGAACTCGATCTCAAAGAGAAAGAAGAAGAAGAAGAAGATGATTATGACGATGATATTTGTGACCTATCCCATCCTCCGCTTCAATGCGTTTCCAATTCAACCGCACCTTTCTCTAAATCTATGTTGTGTTGCAAATATCAAAGCGTTGAAAGCCTGAAACTGAAATTGAAAAAAGAGATTCAATTGCTATGTGCTCCTCCTAAATTTCTGGTTCCCACTTCTGCCCTTTTGTTTTCTTTGCTCTCCGGAAACCGCGTTCGTTCGTACCGTAGATGTTCTTTCCTTTTTTCGCTCCAAATTTGAAGTTATATTTATTTGGTTTGATTTTGTTAGCTTAAGTCTCACAATTCATTAGGAAAAAAATAATTAAACCACAACCACAATGATTTAGTAATTATAAAAGTATGTATCGGCAGTAACATTTTACATTTTAAGATATTGAATCGGTTGATTGCGGGGCAGAGTACCTGTGCAAGAAGACGCGGGAGGAAAGAGCGTGGAAATGTTTGTGAAGCGAATGGCCATATAGGACTTAATCGTTCTCATTCAATTTAAATATGGGATTTGATTTTCTTGCGTGAATTCAATTGTGGGTCTCATATTTATTAGAAAAAGAAAAGAAAAATTTTACACGCAAATCGAAGGGTCACTAACATGAGAGACAACATGAAAAAAAAATTTCTCTTTCAATATATATATTTTACTGTTTACATGATTATACCATTGGAAATATTTTTCTTATTAGGAAATGAGTTATCTTATATTAATGAAATAAAATTATAAAGAAAATCTATAAATAATTAAAGAGAAAAAAAATACATGTAACTCCAAAAATAGCTCAGTTGGTAGCTGAGTTTTCAATAATTTGCTTGAGTCAGAAGTTCAAACTTTATCTCAAGCAAATTTGAAGAGAAAAAAAATACAAGTAACTCTAAGAATAACTCAGTTGGCAGCTGAGTTTTTAATAATTTGCTTGAGTCAGAAATTCAAATCTTATCTCAAGCAAATTCTTAAAATAAATTTAGAAGAACAGTTTGAATGAAAATATCCTCCTGGTTATATAAAAAAAAAGTACATAAAGGATCCACTTTTATTATATGTATATAAAAATTTAATTTTTCTCCTATTAAATAAAATAAATATAACCCTCATACGATACGCCGCATATTTATTAGAGTAAGGTAACACTCTCATAATATTTAATAAATTGTCGTCGTTTACGGGCTCGGCTGTGGTGGATGGGATTGTGTGTGAGTCAGGAAGTTGAAGAAGTTGAAACGACGAAGTTTGTGTTAGTTGCGGTTTTATTAAGACAGTTGTCGTTTGTTATTGCCACTATCAGATTATGGAATGCTATGGGATTAGGTATTTCTTTGTTAAAAGTAAGAAAAAATAAGATTTAGATAAGAATAATCATAAAGAGCTGGTGGAACAAAAAAATTAAATGCATTATTTTTTTTCCAATTCTAATAAATGATATATTTAATCTTGAACGAATAATGAAGATATTTTTCAGACTAAGAATTTGTTTGGATAAAAAAAATTAAAAAAAAAACTAATTTTCTTTCAAATGTGTTTTTTAGTTATTTTATATATTTGGATACAAACTTAAAAAAAAAATCAATAAAAAGGTTAAAATAGTATTTTTCTTTTTAAAGACAAGATTGGTAACTTTAAAAAAAAGAAAAGTAAAAGTTAAATATAATTTTTGAAAATTTCAATGTTGCTCTCATTAAATCCAGTGTCATTACACAATGTTGTTCAAATCGAGATAGTAAAATTATATGGAAATTAAAAAATCGTAAAACGTAAAATCATAATATAAAAAAATCTTAAAAACGTAAAAAACGTTTGTAATATTAGTAAAATTATTTTGATGAAAAAAATCATAAAAACATAAGATCGTAATGATAAATCAAAATTTTATCAAAGATGTTACACCTATTCCCCAACTAAACCCAATTTTGCGCTGATGAGTGATGAGTGATGACTGTGCTTCCGTGTGCCCCCACCAAAACCGGTGTCGTTCTTCGATTTATATTTGATTCATGTACCTCTGCATCTTCTTCATTCAAAAATAATGTCATATCCATGGTTTTTTTTTATCATTATAACTTTTTTTTAATAATTAATTACTAAATTGACTTTATTTATAAACTATTTCAAAAATTTAACCTCTTCAGAAAACATAACACCAATCTGCCCATGTTTGACCGTTGACCTTGAAGCCTACCCGGGTACACTCCTACCTACTCGGGTATATTTTGAAAAATTTTACCTATCCGGATACACCCCTCCCTACCCGGGTATATTTCTTGAATCAGAAAAAATGTTTGAATTATTTACCCGGATAGAGAGGGGTGCACCCGGGTAAATAATGAGACATCATGCGCAGCCCCAGCTGAACAACAAGCAGAAGAAGGGGTAGAGAAATTCTTCAGCCATGGTCCATGAAAAGAGGAACATCCAAAATTCAGAGGACCATACAAAGGTTGTGGTCTTCTTAAATTCACACTAGCTCTCAGGCAACCTTTATGAGTTCTATCTTTGAAGTACACACCAAAAGGTTTTGTGAAAAAATTCATGCAGAAGCAGAATTTCAAAAAATAAATAATAACAATCACATACTGGTCATGCGAAACGAAGGAATTTGCAAGCTGCTTATCAGGAGTGCAGCCATCAAATGAGACATCATGCGCAGCCTCAGCTGAACAACAAGCAGAAGAAGGGGTAGAGAAATTCTTCAGCTATGGTCCATGAAAAGAGGAACATCCAAAATTCAGAGGACCATACAAAGGTTGTGGTCTTCTTAGATTCACACTAGCTCTCAGGCAACCTTTATGAGTTCTATCTTTGAAGTACACACCAGAAGGTTTTGTGAAGCCTAGCACACTGCCACAACTTGAGATAAAGTCATCAACATAAACATCTCCCAACACAACATTAAAAGGTGAAGTAGCCATTGATTTTCTAATAGGTCTGTGGCTTGAAAAGCAACGAGTGCACGCGTAGCCATTGATTTTCTGAAGAGGTTAAATTTTTGAAATAGTTTATAAATAGGGTCAATTTGGTAATTAATTATTAAAAAAGGTTATAATGATCAAAAAGCTCATATCCATTCTTCCAGTGTGGTAATCGTACAGATTGGTTCCTTTATTTTAATTTTCCTTTCTTCGGGTGGAAAAAATCTAATATATTACAAGAATAGGTACATCCGAAGAATAGAAATATGTTATGCCTGTAATTATTTTGGAGAGAGAAAAAAAATAATTTTTATAGTTTACATTATCCGCACCTTTCTTGAGCTTTTAACAGCGTTATCATATTTTAAGAATCTCTTATAAAGTAAAAAAAAAAAAAAGTGTAAATTTTAAAATATTTGGTATTTTTAAGTTGTATTTTTTTTTGGATTCATAAGTTCGTATTTTCGAACTAGGCGATGAGCATAATCATTTTCTTGGAAGTAAAGAAAATTTACAATTAAAACTCAAAAAGGATGTAAATTCAAGAATTTGTAAGAATGTGCATAGCTAATTGAATGATTAATAATCCATAAGATTGACCATTTAATCACAACAGTAATGAAATCATTGCAAAAATGTGATCAACGCAAGGAGAGTTTGAGAAGCTGAAGCTTTTACGAGATGCTTCAACAATTGAGTGCTGAATATTTCAAGTTATGAAGAGGAGAACTATAATGCCCTTGGCCTTGATCACCTATTTGGGCCGTGCTAATACTCGAGCCCATTTTCAGAGGAAAAAGGGAAAAAAAAAGCCCAACAATCCATCAAAAAATAAGGTAAGGTCCTCGTTCATGTTCCTCGATAATAAACATTAAACTATCCAAACAAATCTTAAAAAGCTTCATGTTCTGTCCCAAATGGCAGGAGCTACTGCAACTACAGCACCACTGATCAATTTCACGCGCCCTCTACCCTCCAAGCTTCACCACCTCTCAGCAAACAATGTTCCTTGTCTTCGCCAACTTTTTCGTTCTGGATTCTACTCCAACCATCGTTCAAATCACATAATCAGCAATTGCCATGGCAAGGTATATATGTATATGATATGACATGACATGATATGATGTATCTTTCTTCTTCATGTATCAGCAAGTAGTAACCTTTTATCCCTCTCTCTGTTCTGAAGCTGAATAGCTCAAGTGGGGGAGAACCATATGAGATGGGTGAAGCCGTTTTTGATGGTTATGATGAGGTTGAAGACGAAACTGATGAGGATGACACAGAGAGCAGTGTTGATTTGTTGATCAGATTCTTGCAGAGCATGTTTAAGAAGTTCTCTAAGAGAGCAAAGAAGGCCTCTCGCTCTGTTTTACCCACAGTAATATCACCCCAGCTTGTAAGTCTCCCTTCTTCTTCACAAATTTTGAAGCCTTAATTTCAAATGGGGATCATCAATTTTTTTACTTCTGAGTTTCTTGTGGCTAGCAAATTATGATTCAGGTTAGGGGATCAGTTGTCACAAATAATTATGTATATCACTTTGTACCCGAAAGAAAAAAGTAAAAAATAAAAAATAAAAAAACATATATGTCACCAATAATTGGTTGATTGTTGAATATTGCTTCAAGTTGTAATTTCAAGTGTTTTTTTTTTCTTTAAGTAACTTTGTAATAAACTTTTGGGACGGTTCTACTAATTTAGAATTGTGTTCACCAAGGACAAGACCAAGCTAGTGCCAAAACATTCAACTAGTAAAATACTCAGCTAGTACCAATGTTGTATTATTTTAAAAACCTAACCAATGCCAAGGCTATATTATAATTTTTAAAGAAAATATATAGCATTTTTGGCACCAGCTAAACACCAAGTGGCTCCGTCACTGAATGTGTTGTACCTTCAAGTTTCAGATTTAAATACTGAAACTTGTGGCCTGGTTTTCTTTTGATTTCTAGACATTAGGCAAGGTAGTATTTGAATGTGTCGCCGGTTGCTTTTCTGAAAGTTCACGTTCTGGAATTTATCTATAAATTTATCCTTGCCTTTCTTTCCATGTGTATGGGGAATTTCAGGTTTCTTTTGCTGTTGATGGGACTCTGCTACTTGCTTCACTTTCTGTTGTCAAAGCACTTCTTGAGGTATTGCTTCCCATCACTGTATGGCTTAGTCGACAGTTCATGGCTAGTTGAAACCTCTGTTTGTTTTACTTCACATTTAAAATAATCTTCCCTGGCTTTTTCCTCATTATAAATACTACTTGAATTGAATCAAGCCTTTTCCTGATGTGTAAGTAACAGAGGTGCGGGAGGATTTGCAATAAAGTGTGTGCAAATAATATTTCTCTTACAGTTTCTAGGAAAAAGAAAATGCATTTCTCTTTTTTGTTACTCAACTTACAACTCGTTTTTGCAGAATTCATGTATTGAACTGTTATTTGCACACTCAATGCACAATGCACACCTGCCTTACTCCTCTTAATTGCACCATTGAATTACTACAAACAAATGATGGGTGTGAGTGATCAATAGTTGGAATAAGTTTGAGATTTATTCTTATGTTTTAGGTCTTGGAATATATATCTATAACTATGAAAATACCAATTCTGATTCCTGAAGAATTGATTGAAACATCAAATGATGACTCAGATGCATTTGTGATCATAGAGTCTACACGCAAGCCTGAACTATGATTCTGGCATATTTCAGTGTTTTACTTCTCAAAATTTCTTTGCTTATAATTGGAAAATGCATTATCAAGTAGGATCTGACAGCCATTGGTGAACATTGATTACGAATCTTAGGTCATCTGCACACTTGGAGGCACTGTGTTTGCTGCAATTCTGATCCTGCGTGTGATTTGGGCGGCAGTTTCTTACTTTCAGTCAAGTGGTAATAGCTTCAATCAGGGGGGGAATTCCTTTGGTGCTGTAGCCTAAACCTCTCTTCAAGTCTTAACAAAAGATGGCCTATGTAAGTTTAGTTTGATGGTAGATTGCATATGAAGTGGAATTTTCTTCAGGTACATATTTAATTTGATTCTATTGATTATAAATGGTTTATGTATTTATTCAGATGAATTTAGGCATCCTTGGGGTAACCAAATATTTTTGCTACCCGGAATGTTTAGATGTAATTATTATTTTTTTGGGCAAATGATGTAATTCTAATTTCTGTGATAAGTGATTATTAATTTGGCAGTTCAATTTCTGGTGTTACAATTACGTCTCCAATGCAACTCAATGCAATATTCCATATCAGACTAAAATTTGATAGCCATAAGGCTTTAATCTTAATATCTTATGTTCACCCACTCGGCAATAACTAAATTTTGTGGTACTAAAAGTCCTATATAAAAGCCTTGTTGCTTCTGCGAATGTGTTTGGCAAAAATAGTGTTGGTATGTTACATGTGCACAACAAACTTACACAAGAATAATCTTTGTTTCATTCTTTATTATAGAGTCTGTCAATCTTGTTTTAGGTCCATTCATTTCTAGCATTTGAAGCAGATGCGATTTATGTATATAATATTTCTAAATATGTGGCAAAAAGTTGGACTATTTGTCTCTTTGGTTTATCTCAAGTTCTTTTAAAACATTTTTCTTCATTCAAATTTTGTCCTAAGTGTTTTAATCTCTTTTTTCTGCCTAATTATGTCCAGATGACATGAAAATCGTAGTGACAACTGCGCAATACGTTCCGCCATCAAATGAGCGAAATCCATGTTGTGTACAGTACTTTTTCAAATAAACCAAACCAACAGTTTTCATTTAAAACAGTACACTTCATCTGAAAGGAAATTAAGTTTTGACATCCATTAATATGATATAGATTTTAATTACCTTGGCATAGTTAGGTTTACCATAACTTGCGTCTGTTTTGTTACTTTTGGCCAGTAGAAAGTTCAATAAAATAACCAAGTTCATTGAATCCGAATTCACACTTAGCAGACAATAAATAATTGACATCATTCGTAAACTCTTTGCGATGAAGATCTTTTTATGCGCTCAAAGGGACTAAACTAAATGTTAAGAAAATCACATGGGCTTAATTTATTCAACATAGCTTCATAAACAAACAACAACATTGTGTTGAGACTATTACACAATATGTAAGCATTATGTATTCAGCACAAGTAGCATTCTTTTACAAGAATAATAATCATTTTAAAGGTTATGAAGAGTATCTGCATAGAAAAGCCTATAGTCCACACTAGCTACATATTGGGTAAATGAATTCATTTTCCAATACACTAACAAATGGAGTTGCTTAAATACTAACTGAAACGATCCTGTGGATACAAATAACAGCTCCATGCCTGGTGAAGAAAACGGGAATAAGGTGTCCATTGGACTGAACACCTTGAGTATATGATTTATGGAAGCTCTGAATGAAAGACTACTGATCCTATATGCATTTATTATCAGGTGATGGGATTTCTACGTTGCTCTTTCAAAACCACTTCCCACCTGCATATGTAACCACTCTGGTGATGAACCCCGGCTATATTCTCTTGTAGCTTGTGAAGAGAATGGCAATCCGGCTGGCTCAAATGTTTGCTGATCAAACTGGAACAGAAGTTGATGTCATATAAAACTGAAGATTTTGCCACAAGGATTAAAAATTGAACTCTACCAGCCATTCTGAATCTTGTCGGCCCAAATTTTAATTTTAGCGTTGGTTTTTAACACACTTACTAATCAGACATCCTCGCAATATAACAGGTGCAGTTACACTCATAACTTACCCAAAGACTAAGTTTAAAATAAAGGGGATAAAACCAACTTTCAAGCTATTCAGATTAATCAGAGAACACAATATAAAAATCTAAGGATGTTATTCAATACTTACATCTTTAGGAGTAAATACTTCAATACCAGGGGTCAGTCTTGAATTTACTGTTTCAAGCTTCATTGATAAAAACTGTGACATATAGTAAAATTACAAGGCTCAAAAATCAACTATTTAGCATATATTAATTTTACAAATAATACAACATCAGATAAAGAATCCACACCTCTACTTGGCGCTGAAGCGATTGAATATAATTAATTATCTCATCAAGGACCAATGCTTTCCCAATAACCTGAATCAGAGAAAAAACCTCAATTTCTAGAAAACAAAAGCACATAACACCAACCATGAGGAATGATTTTCAGCTGTGTTTCCAACTGGGTCCCCTTACCAGAGATGTACGGACACACATCCACTGATGATTTTGGTCTTTTCTTTTCATCTGACAAGTAACACTTTTAATTTCTTCCTTTATGCTTATTTCTTCTCTTTTAGCTATATATAATTATAAATACAAACGTACCGAGAGAGAGCAGAGACAAAACTAAAACAGGCAGTAAAAACATACCTTATTACAACCAGGGACTAAATCCTGAAGAATTTTCATCCTTTCACTAATCTTTTCCCTTCTAGCCTGTCGAACAGTGACCAGCAATATTCAATTAGAAAACTAATTCAATAACTCTAATTGCAAAAGATCCAATAATTCAATATTACCTTAAATTTCCATAAAGACACTACCAGAATAAAAGTTTCATTTTTCTTAAACCAACTTTTTTTAGGGAATTTCCACATGTCATATAGCTGAGTGTTCCTGCCTCTAAATTACTGTTACCCCGGTTAAGAAAACGATCTTTATAAATAGATAAACAAAAAAGTCATCTAAAACAATAACAAAAAATTACATAACAGAATTAAAAGGGGTAGCAGGGAATTAAATTACTCTTTCTGCAAGACTGTGGCTATCAGTAGCTTGACCCCTTCTAGCTCGGACATGGATATAGTCTTGCTTAGGAGGCTCAGGAGGTGGCTGAGTAGTTTCCTCCGCAGGCTTTCCTGAACTGGGTTCTGCTTCACCTTTATTGCTCTCATTCCTGTTCCCTGATATCTTAATCCGTTTTCCACCACCACCATCACTCTGCACAATCCAAATTCACAACAATTCACCATAACTAATGCTCCACCAAACGAATTCCAATAATTTTCTTTATTTTTTTTAGTAAATAATTCCAATAATTTCAACTTGAAGTAAATAAATAAATTCAAAATTAGCAATTCATAAAAAGAAATAAAAAAATTAAAAGAAGCAGATCCATTCTCTATATTTTAACACCAAATTGCACTTTGAATACTACCCATTTTCTTAAAGAACTAAATTCTTACGCAAGATCATATTTTTTTTTTTATTTTTTTTTTTATATTCTAGATCATTGAATGAGCAAATACCACGCCATTGCCATTGCCATTGCCACCGCCATTGCTGGTGGAGACACCCTTAGCTGATTCCTCCTCCGAGTCGCGCCTCTTCCTGTTATGGCCATGGTTCGCCGCCGCCGCAGCTCTCTGCTCCGAACTAATCGGGTCATCGCCTGGAACGTCTCGGGTCGGACCAGCACCGAAATCCGCAAACCCGTGCCCGAACTGCGGCCTCCTGAACCCCAACCCGCCACCGGACTCCCCCCCACTCGGCGGCGGAAATGACCAGATCTCCGCCAAGTGATACGACGCCGTGTTGGCACCCGCGTTCATCATGGCCGCTGGATCCATCAAAACGAATTCGAAATCCAAATCTCTTACCTCAACAACAAGGGAACAGTGCCATTCAAGTTCATAGAGAGAGAAAGATAGAGAGAGAATGTGAATGCAGGTACGGGTTCCTTTTTTTTTTTGTGCGTGATCTCCTTGGACAGTGGAGGGTTATGCGCACAGTGTTTATATTTCTCTGTCCACCATTACTCTTCACTGTTCCCAAGTCACTTCCACTCACCTCTTTTTTCTTTTCTTCTCATTTTATTTATGAAAAAAATATTTATACTTTTTTTATAAAGAAATTATTTATTACTTTAAATAATATAATTTTATGTTATTTAAATAAAATAATTTTGTTTTGCTATGTATTTAATGATTTTTTATATCATTTCATTTAAAATGATACAAAATTATATTATTTAAAATAAGAAATATTTTTCTCTTTTAAAGGATGGTCATTTATCCATCCCCCTAATTTGTATTTTGTATCTTTTTTTCTCTTAAAACACACAATTTTATCTGACAAATATCAAATCTTTTTGTTTATTTATTTTTTCTCTAATATGTGAAGATAAAAAAACACATCTAATTGTTAAAGTGTTTAATTGGTAGAGTCCATTCAGAATTAATGAAACTCGGTATTATGTAAAAAAATATAATTTAGATGACCTTTTTGTCTTGCTTTATGGGGTTTCAAAACTTTAATTGATTGTTATCATTATTAATCATTGTTTTGATATTTGGACGTGAGCTGATGGTGTACGTGAGAGTGAGAGGTCAATTTGGAGGAGTATCAATGTATAAGTCTTAGAATAATGATGCTTAGGATTCTATTAATAGAGTGAGCATATTTTAATATCTAAGGATAACTCAGTTGACAACTGAGCTTTTAAGGATTTATTTAGGTCAGGGGTTCAAACTTTGTCTCAAGTAAATTCTTGAAAAATCTTTAGAGGCTAGAAGACGTGCCTCTGTCCTTGAAGGGGGATTAGTCTTGTCCTTCCTCCAGTCGCGAAGCTCAATGCACTCGCTGTTCTAATGAGGAGCTAGCCTTCGGGCCGTACTCAAAGAGAGAGAATGTTAAAAAGTTTTTAAAGAGAGAGAAAATGTTAATCTAATAATGATTAGATAGATAATAAGTTAGTAGTAAAAAATTTTGATAGTTAGAATATTCTTTCTCTTATTAATATGATAATAGTTGTACTTTATTATTTATTTTATTTTATTTTAGCTTGGATGCGTCTTTGAGGCCCACCGGTTAACTGGTCCCTTGTGGACCTTGTTTGTTGTTGACACTAAACTTGTCCTCTAACGTTGATCCATTTTGCTTTTGGGGTCATCTAATTAATTTTTTTGAAGCGTGTTGTACCCTGGATGTCCCCATTTCATAATTGACAATTATCAAGCAAACTATGAGAAGAAAATAAAATGAAAACAAAAAGTGACTGTGACACCTTATAGTAGTATGGTTTTTTTAAGATAATTAGGTTGAACTTTTAATGAATTTGACTAATTCAGTTTTGAATTTATACATTTTCACTCTTTTAGAAATTGTAACTATATAGCATGTACATCGAGAATTTAAGTCTTGAAGCACATGAAGATTTTATCCGTTGGTGTCAATTAGGTGGTTTGTGAACTTTTGTTACTCTCCACGACGGTTTTGGATTAATCAGTTTCATGTTACGTTAGATATTTTACAACTAAAAATTTTCTTTTTTCCGATCTAGTTCCTCCACCACGGCAAACCCAATTTCAAATCCTGCAATCTAATTAAATCACCGTTGGACCAATACTCTTGGTGAATAGCATGATTTTATTTTATTTTTAAAAATGTGAATAGCATGATTTTAAAGATGAATCAACAGGCTTGCAACCAAAAAAAAAAAAAAAAAGATAAATCAATAGGCTTAAAAAACAAGGAGTAGTGTAAATCATTATATCACAGTTTGATCATTAAAACAAATAATTTGTTTTTTATATTATTATAATATGATTTTTGAACTTTATTGTTTAATAATTAAAATTATAAACTGAATAACTAATTATTCTACATATTTGTTTTACCATCACATCCCTATATATTATTATGAGAAAGATTATACTTACAACTTTTTTTTTACAACCTCTTACAATCATATCTTAACACCGTTGATTTTCGTCAATCAACGGTTATCATTTATTGTGAATTAATAATTAATTAGTTAATTTAATTTGAGAAAATAATATCCGTTGATTAGCGGAAATCAACGGTGTTAAGATATGGTTATAAGAGGTTATAAAAAAAATTATAAGTATAACCTTCCTCTATTATTATTCCTATGGTTTGGGTTTTCATTTTAGGCAAAATGCAAAAACGGGGACGTTAGGTGAGCGCGTTTAGTTTAGGACTTCAAGGGAGTTAGGGTGTACAATAAGTTTAAGGGAAAATTGTGTATTATTTTAAAGGATGTAAAGTTGTGTCATTTTAAAAGAGATGAAGAGATAGATAAAGGAAAAGAGAGAGTTGACAAAAAAATTAAAGATGTGGATCCCACCTCTTTATGAGAGTAAAAGGATATAAGTTGTGTCATTTAAAAGTATAAACATTTTTCCCTAAATTTAATAGAGCTCTGCTCCAAAATCTGAACATCATGTTGGTTTGAGTGTGTTTAAAACTGGTAGAGGAAATTGAACCATAAAAGAGGGTTGCGTTGGGAGAGAACAGAAAGTGCTGTTTCAGACACTTTCAAAAGTTATAATGATCCATGCCCTCGAGAGTTTTAAGATTAGGCCCGAGTCTATTCAGCTCCAATGTATAAGAGATTATAAGATCATGATTTGAGCATCAGCTTATATAATGAGGTAGTGTTAGGTTTTAGAAAGTATAATTTGTTGGAGAGATATAATATAAAAAGTTATTGATATACCGAAGTTTAATGATTCATAGTATTTTTTTTTTAATAATGCTTATCACATGTTATTTAGATATTTTAGTTTTTATAAATTATTATTTAAAATTCATCATACACTTTGTTGAGAAGATAGATCTTAAAACAACTATTATTAAAGCCATTATATATATATATATATATAATCAGAAAAGAAAACTTGGACAACGTTTTTGATAATGGAACTATCATTTGCATGTCGATATTGTTGATCATACTATAATTTTTTCTAAAGATGATGGTGTTACGAAACATCATTTTAGAAGTGGTTAAAAGTGTAATAACACTTTTTGACTCGCAACACAAGCAAACAACTTATATAAAATATAGAAGTTCTTTTATCATTGTTGTCACACGGTAATTTTTTAAATTTGATTGTTTTTTAATTTTTAATTTATTTTATTTATATATTTTATAATGAAGAAAGTTATACTTACAACCTATTTTTCTTTACAACCTCTTACAACCAATATTCTAACCGTTGATTTCCGTCAATCAACAGTTAAGATTTTTGCAAATAAAATTTATTAAATAATTATTAATTCACAATAAATCTTAACCGTTGATTGACAGAAATCAACGATTAAGATATTGGTTGTAAGAGGTTGTAAAGGAAAACCTCTCCCTTTTATAATTTTGTATCTTTTTAAATATTTCAGATTTTTTAAAATAGTAACCGAAATGTATTGTTTATAATAATTTAAAAACATACATCCTTTATTATAAAAATATATATACATTAATCAAATTTTCTAAGAATGTTATTCTCTTACATATTTACAAATTTATTTCAATATTTTTTTTGCAAGTTTTAAAGATAGAAAAATTTGAATAATTCTTGTGGTGGGACAACTTTATTGATAAAACTGAGACATACGCCATTTCAAATCGTGTGGTTGTTTGACCATTCAGGAGTCTTGAACGACATATTCCTAAGGAATCTTGGGTAGAAGAGAAATATTTTTATACTAGGAAAATATAATTATTATGAAAGTAGTAAAAAAATGAATTTGATAGAAAAGTGGAAAAAAAATTATTTGGTAGGCCAAAAAATTACTGAAAAAATTGATTTAAATTTTTTAAATTTATGTTTGGTTGAAGGAAAAATATTAATGGAAAAATAGAGTTAAATTACCACAATAACCCTTAAATTACCATAACAAAGGTCAATGTCTTAGACCCTCTTTCCATAAAATGGCAAAGGTTGCCATTAAAAAAGATCATTTTGGTCTCTTGCTTCACGGTTCTTTTTCGATTTTCCTGGTAAACAAGAAAATACCACCTAAAAGGTGATATTATTTTATAGTGTTTTTACACATAAAAAGCAATTACTAAGCAAATCATTATCCTACCTAAATTTTTGAAAACCTAATACCAAACATAGATATCTAAAAACACCACATTCATTTGTCTAGGTATCTTCAACAAGACCTCCTACCAAATGTAACATCCTCGGCGCTGACGATAGGGGTATTCATCATCCGATCCAAACCGACCGAACCGAAAAACTGATAACCGAATAAATCGAAAACCGAAAAACCGAGAACCGAATAAAAACCGCAAATTTTAATTGGATTGGATCGATTTTCGGATGGGTTGATGAAAACTGATCCAATCCAAACCGTTCCAATATATTAATTTCCCTCTACCTACGTGGGTCTCTCTACCTACTTGGGTCTTTCCTCCCATCATAGCTCGAAATTTTTTAAACCCAAGACCTATTAACCCATCAACTAAACCCAAGAAAAAACCTAGTCACATCTCATCAACAAAAAATTATTTGTGTAAAGCTTCATATCTCATTGCCAAAAAAAAAAATATATTATCATTTACTTTTCTGTTTAATTTTTTGTTTACAAAGCCTATTATACAAAAAAATGTTATTTGTACAATAACCATAAAACAAATTTTAAGATTTTCAAAAAACCGAAAACCGATCCAATCCAAACCGAAAAAAATTGGATTGGATCGGATTGGATTTGAAAAAAAATCCAAACTGAATGGATGATAACATGATCAAACCGAAGAGATTGAATCGGATGATTTTTGTTTCCAAAACCGATCCAATCCAGACCGCGAACACCCCTAGCTGACGAGGGCGGGGAGTG